AGGCGCGCGACATGTACCGCTTCGCGGGCATCCCGCTGACCCCGCAGGTGGAGGACTGGATCCAGAAGAACACGCAGGCGCCCCGCGACAGCAGCGGCATCTACTCCACGCAGAAGAACTCCTCGGAGCAGTTTGAGAAGTGGCGCTTCAGCATGCCCTTCAAGCTGGCGCAGGTGGTGCAGGACGCCTGCGGCCCCGCCATGCGCCTCTTCGGCTACAAGCTGGCGCGGGACGCCGCCTCGCTCACCAACCGCTCGGTCAGCCTGCTGGAGGAGCGCGGCACCTTCTGGGTCACGTAGGGGGCCTGGGGCCTCCGCACCCTCCTCGTGAAAGTCCCGCCCTGCCTTCCTCAACCCAGGTCAGCCGCCTCAGGCCGGCTCTGCCTTAGAAGCAGCTCCCAGCAGCCAGCTTCCCCAGCGGCTGTGGGCTGGGGCTGGGGCTGCTGCCGAGAACAGATCGGTGCCCTGACCCCGTGCGGGCCATCAACCCAGACCTGAGGGGCAGGCTCTCGCCTATTGACAGCCTCTCTCTCTCTCTCTCTCTCTCTTACACTCATACACACAGAAACATACATGAAGCACACATAAATGCCTGTAGACCCTGTGGGCCAGACCACAGCCCCACAGTCTGGATTCCTACAATCCAGCGTGGATTCTGGGTGGTCCCCAGGGAGGGACAGCCCAGGCCCAGGGGTTAGAGGATGGCAGCTGAGGCTTCCCCATTCAGTTTTTCCATAAATGAGCCACCTGTGCCGGTTAACGATGGAGTCAGCTCTGTGACAAGCTACAACACACGTATAAAGACGAATACCCGCAGGCCCAGGGCACAGCACACAGCACACACTGGGAAACAGAAACAATTCTGCACACACACATGAAAACAAACGGACAAGCTTTCCCTTTGCTCTACGCCCACAGGCTTGGTAGGGCTCATCTGCATCACACACCTGTTTGGGAGCTGGGGAAGGAAACGTGGTCATGGCCGTGACCTTGTTTCCCGACTGGGTTTGGGATGAACGGGACAACAGAAGTGCCGAGTCTGCGGCCCCCGCTCACCTTGGAGTCTCGGGGCCCATTCACGTCCTTGCTGCTGGCAGGCAGGACGTTTTGAAATGGTCGACCCTCATGTGACTGCAGCCCAAAGTTCCCATCCCCTCCCATCCCAGCTCTGCTCATGTCCTGGAGCATGTCCGTGTCTGAAGGCTGCCTCAGGCCTGACTGGCAGAAGCAGCTGGGGTCCTGGGAAGCAAAAGGAACTCATGGTCCTGCCCCCTCCAGCCAGGCCTCTGGGGGGCAGGGCCCAGTGACAGTGCAGAGTGCTCTCAGAGGAGAAGCCACATCAGGATAGCCCCTCCTGAGAAGACAGGGGACAGCGGTCAGCGGTCAGCCTCCTGCTGGTCGCCATGGTTGCATGGCTGGTGCCTGAAATTCCTCCTTTAGGGTTCTGGGAAGAGTGTTGCTTAACAGGATGGACCGGGTATTTGTTTTCTGTTGTGTGTGTGTGTGTGTGTGTGTGTGTGTGTGTGTGTTGTTTTTAAGATATTTATGGTTTGGTGTCTTGTTTTGTGGACAGGCTGTGTTTTTGTTTCTGCGGAAGTGCCTCTTGGAAGTGGTCTGTGCTTGAGGGCTGAAGGGGCTCTGGGAGGACCAGTGGGAAGCACTCTGGTGCTTGCTGGAGGGAGAGGAGGAGGAGGAAGAGCCTCCTCCAAGGATCAGAGCTTAGGTGGCCACGGGACGACCCGGAGTGCCCTTCGGGCTTTTCTGCTTGGACTCACGTGAAATGAATCTCAGAAACCACCAGCATTCTTCGCTGCGTGTCCAGAAGCAGCATAAATTAGCAGCCCTCAGCCCAGGCCCAATCACACTCCCGGGGGGGCAGGCACTATGACCAAGCAGCAAATGTCCCCAAAATAGACACCTTCCCCCACTCCCACCCCAACCCGGGAGCCAAGCTCAGTGCCATCTAAGAACATGCAGGAAGCTGTAACCTCACTAAGGGCTGTTTCTGATTTCCTGGACAACCTCTGTCCAATCCATCCCATTGTCAAGCCCAGAGGGTTGAGTTTTCCTTGAGTAATAGGGTCATGAGGGAAAGACAGGATCTGCGTCCAGCTGGGGCTGCTGTGGGGAAGGGAGGGGTGTGTCCTGCTGGAAACTGCCGTTTGAAAAGGTGAGGATGGTAGCCATCTTATGGGGTCCCCTATAACCACCGGATCTGAGCTGCTGGGCACGCATCACCATGGACTTCAGCCACTTGAGGAGGTCTCCACTCTAGGCTTTCCAGTCCAAGGATAAGTCGTGCAGGGATCTGGCTCTAATTTGGGGTCCAAAAGCGACTCCAGCTCTGAAAACTTGACCCTGGGACAGAGTAGGGCCAGGATTTTTCTGGCAGGCCCAGAAGTGCTGGTGGTGCTTCCCCAGCCCCTGTCCTGCCCCCCACACTGTTCTCCACCTGGGGGTGGTGGGGGCAGGCTCCTCTCTCCTGGGTCCTTCCTAGTGTGGACAGCAGACTTCTTCCTTCTTATGTCCGGGGCCAAGGTCCCCACCCCTAAGCTCTGAGGACTGTGCCGTGAGTGGACCTTTGGGACGTCTCAGGACATTGACAATTTGTCCACAGCAAGTTGACTTAACTTATTTATTTTGTGAAAAAGAAGTGACAGAAAATACCTTCTTGTGTGCAGGGACTCAAAGCTGTACCCAAATCAAGAGAGACAAACTAGTAATAATAAGAACTATTCACTCATCCACACACAAGGACAACCCAAGATGACTCAGAATGCAGGAGGCAACTACACCAAGGCCGCAGGAGTCAGGACAGCCCAGGCTTTTGTTTAAGGAGATTCCTTGGTTTCCTCCTGCAGATTTGAGGATGCAACAGTAAGGCCCTTTCTGCTGTACGACCTTTGCCCAGGTGCCTGGAACAGGACACAACTCCAGTCAGTGTTGCCTTGGGGCTCTGGGAACCCTTGGGGTTTGGGGAAGGACAGGGTGGGTGACTGTTGCCTTTTCATCCGTGGGACCTGGTTGGGGTCACGTCCCTGGGGTTTTCAGCATGGAACTAGCTGGGGACGGTGGTCCCGCTGGGGGCAGTGCCCTCTTGTCCTGGTTTCTCTGCTCCTGCTGATCCACCAGGAGCCTTCGCTCCACAGCCCCCCTCCACCCCCTAGAGACAGAGGGAGCATTTGAGGCCTCACCTCCAGCTACCAGCTTCCTCAGAACAAGGGCCCATTCAGCAGCGAGCATTTACTCATTTTTTCTCCTTGAAGAAGATCTCTTTAGCCTGGCCTATATAAATAGTTCAGAACATTCCAGGCCTCGGTGAGACAGGCAGTGTCTAACACCCGCAAGCCATCACCACCACTGCCCGTTCCTGGCTTCTCTGTGCCTATTTGTAAGCCTTGGAGTGGAGGCAGGCACCGGGGAGTGGACGGTGGGGGCAGGAGTCCTGTGGCCCCAGGGAGAGGGAGAAGGGAGCCGTGTGCAGCGCTGTCACACCCCCTGCAGGTTATTACCGAGCTCAGGTTGAGAGACGTGACTAAATTCTACCCTTTGTCACTTTATGTGATGCACACACTTGAAAATAAATAACGAACAGAAAAAAGTATTTAATGAAGAGTTTACCCCCTGTCTGCCGCCCTCAGCACTACACCAAGGCCGCAGGAGTCAGGACAGCCCAGGCTTTTGTTTAAGGAGATTCCTTGGTTTCCTCCTGCAGATTTGAGGATGCAACAGTAAGGCCCTTTCTGCTGTACGACCTTTGCCCAGGTGCCTGGAACAGGACACAACTCCAGTCAGTGTTGCCTTGGGGCTCTGGGAACCCTTGGGGTTTGGGGAAGGACAGGGTGGGTGACTGTTGCCTTTTCATCCGTGGGACCTGGTTGGGGTCACGTCCCTGGGGTTTTCAGCATGGAACTAGCTGGGGACGGTGGTCCCGCTGGGGGCAGTGCCCTCTTGTCCTGGTTTCTCTGCTCCTGCTGATCCACCAGGAGCCTTCGCTCCACAGCCCCCCTCCACCCCCTAGAGACAGAGGGAGCATTTGAGGCCTCACCCCCAGCTACCAGCTTCCTCAGAACAAGGGCCCATTCAGCAGCGAGCATTTACTCATTTTTTCTCCTTGAAGAAGATCTCTTTAGCCTGGCCTATATAAATAGTTCAGAACATTCCAGGCCTCGGTGAGACAGGCAGTGTCTAACACCCGCAAGCCATCACCACCACTGCCCGTTCCTGGCTTCTCTGTGCCTATTTGTAAGCCTTGGAGTGGAGGCAGGCACCGGGGAGTGGACGGTGGGGGCAGGAGTCCTGTGGCCCCAGGGAGAGGGAGAAGGGAGCCGTGTGCAGCGCTGTCACACCCCCTGCAGGTTATTACCGAGCTCAGGTTGAGAGACGTGACTAAATTCTACCCTTTGTCACTTTATGTGATGCACACACTTGAAAATAACAAACAGAAAAAAGTATTTAATGAAGAGTTTACTCCCTGTCTGCCAGCGCCCTCAGCCAGAGGCTGGTCTAACGGGGCAGCCCCTGACCAAACCCCCAAGAACAGAAGACACCCACTCGGTCCATTACAGTGCATCTTTCTCTGCCTCCTCTGCCATCTGTCCGACCAGGGAACCAGTGTCAGCAGAATGTCAGGTCCCTGACCCAGAAGCTGCCTGCTTGGCCCAGACCGCAGACAGGAGATGCAAGCATCGGATGGTCCTGACCCTGAAGGTCTCGTCGGCCCTGGGTGACCCTCTCCCTCACGAGGGTCTGTTTTAATGGGCCCTAGGGCCTGTCCCTTGATAGGCCCTGGATGATGAAGGACAGGAGCAGAAGATTGGGTGGCTGTGTCCCCAAGGCAGTGCCCTCCCACTCCAGCCCCCACAGGCTGGAAGAAGGGTGGGAGCCTGGTCAGGGAGAGCGAAGGGGAGAGAAGGGGAGGAGATGGATCTGTAGCGGCCGAGTGGTCTTGTCGATCTGCACAAACGGAGAGAAGGAGCCTCCACTGCAGTGCAGGGGCTCAGGTGGCTGAGTTGCTTGTGAGGATTCCTAGGATGTGGTCCAGCTGGACGGGAGGGAGGAGGCCCGAGGTGTCCTGAGTGCAGCCACGTTGCCTCTCAGCGGTCGCGGCTTCAGGACGAGTCAAAACTGCTCTTTACCTCAAAAGGACGAAGCACAATTGCCAACTTCAGTTTTCTTAAAAGCTTCGAGGTCCTTTGATCTTGTGCCCTCTGTCACTTGATGACTGTGCCCAGTGGACTAATCAGTGACGTGTTTCCATGGTGCCATCCGCGTGAGCCTCGCTCATGTTGTAGCTCGGGTATTTTGCCTGGGAAATGAAATGACCCGTGTACCCTGCTTCCCCTCACCCTGGGCTTGGCCT